ACCTGCCCGCAGCCGGGACGCTGGGTGCCGGCTTGGGTGGGACATGAAAACGAGCCGGAGTTCAGTGCCGGCAGCGCCCTGGGTGTACGGAAAGAGCGGAGTAGCTCGCAGGTGGGGGCTATGAAGGGCGATGTATCTCACCAGCTTAAACAGCCACACCGACTCTTTCCTAGAACTAGTTAGGCTGGCTAATCCAAAAATTCTCAAGAGTGACTTGTATTACCAAAGCAGGTCAGTACCAGCTAAGTGGCAGCAAACCTGAATGTGTCCTGCAGACTTACGCTTCAGTTTCTCCAGCACGACTCATGTAAAAATGAACACAGTCCCTTCCCCCGTGCAAAATGTAAACCGATTGTTGTTGCGACGTTCACAGAATCCTAAACAATCTGGAAAGCAACTGCTCTGCCCGTGACTTAGTATGACCTACAAATTCAGATTTTGCTTTTCCAAGTTACCAAAGTGTTCTGGACATCCCAAACAAGTAAGCTGTCTCTAGCTCCGGCGGGTGGGAGGTAAGGACCTCCACTGTGCCTTTTCCTCTGCCATGTCGACTTAACTGCTTTTCAGGAAAACCAGCCAAGCTTTTCACTGTCTCCTGCATGTCTACCGGTGTCCCAAACTTGCGAGATACAAATGCAGGAGCAGGCACCCGTGTATTACCCTCCTGAACGTCTTTGGTCACCATCTGGCCTGCAGGTTTGCTTTTCTGCCTTAGCTGTACTGAACTTCTGAACAGCGCTTGTTACTAGAAGGTCTCAAAAGCACCAACAATGTTGTTGTTACCTCATTTTGCAGATGGGGAAACACACAAAAATGGAACAGTCTGCTCCATCTTGCTAAGCAGAACAGGTCTTTTGAGTCCTAAATCAAGGTTCTGTGTCGGAGCAACACCAACCCAAACTCAGAATGCCTCATCAATTTACATGTCAACCATGTATGTTTTAGTCCATTTCTCTGTACAGCAGATAATGGGTGGAAACAGATTTTCCTAGCTCATCCAGTCTGTGTCTGCGCTGGCTTTGGTGTAGGATGTGGACAGGGATGGCCTGGGTAGCACTGAGCAGTGCTGTTTCTTACCACTTTCTGTGCTGTTCTCCCCACTGATTTGCTCTGTGTCATAAATGAATTGAATTTGAATTCTGAATTGCACCTCCCCACCATGCATTCAAAACTGAGCTGTGCAAAGACAGAAGGTAAGTGTCCCACCTCTCCCAGTGCTTCCTGGGGCAGGAAATCTCTCTTGGTGTTACAAACGTTACTGTTCCCTGTTTGAGGTACTGTATAGTTCCGTACTTTGCCCTGAACACCTCTAAACCATTTACCCTTTATTTGTTCTTCTGTGGTGCTTTCTTAGAAGAATCACAAAGCACTTTAAAATCACCAGTCACTGTCTGAATTTTTCAGAATATGACTGTCACAAGCTTAGCAGGAGTTTATTAGTGGAATATTTCTTCCAGCTTTGTTGAGTTTGTGCACTTGATCGTGCTGATTACACAATCAATTTCATAGGTTCCTGAGTATGTAGGAAGGTCCTCTCCCTTATGCATGGATAAAATTACTCTTTGGTAAATGGACCTACAAAAAGATGCGCCAGAACATCAGGCTGATGGTGAGTGCTGAGACACTGGCTGTTATTTCCTTTCTTTATCACAGTCTTTCTCCGCGGAGCTAAAGACCGAAACACTTTAAAAAGAGACAACACTGTATTAAAGTGACTATTAAGAAGCCAGTGAAAGGCAGATTCAGCTGTGGAAGTACCTTTAACTCCTTATTTTGATTTGGCTGTGTTCAAATTTAGTACCAAGAATTATGAGCAACCACGTAATTAAGCCAAAGTATGCTGGACTTAATGGATGGGCAGCAAAAAACCCAGAGTGGCTTAGTCACTTCCCTCTACTTGCAAGATGCCTGGTTTAGAACTGACATGCAGTCAGGTCCTTGTACTCCCAGATCTATGTCTCGATGGCTGCCTCGACATTTCATACTCTCTAATAATGGTAGAATAGGTCTTGTTTACTGCAGGTATTGGTATGTTTCTAATTTCACCTCAGCTTTTTTATCACTAAAAGCTCAGGAGAAGCTTATCAAGAACAACTACAGTTTCAAGAAGTATGTGCACAGCTGGAAGTACTGCACCTGATCATTTGAGGAGATTTACCTCTGAAAATTTAGAGATTTGTCTCTAGATAATTAATACTCTCCAGGAGAGCTCACTTCTTCAAACTGATTAGAGAGCAACTTTTCTGACCTATTTTAGATGTGTTTCAGAGCTTTTCTCCTTTCCAGACAAAGGATGTCTCTGTGACATGCTCAGATGTAAATGTCTGTAGTAGAGAGCTCTGAAGTTAGGCTAATGAATTCTACCCTCTCTTTCTACTTGACAGGAGGTTTAGGTCTTCAAAAGCATTTCATATAAAGACAATGGTATGGCAGTCTGACTTCCTAGTGGAAAGGTACTTGAACAAATACATTCATACTGCAGAATATTAGTGTCGTAAGAGCCACAGATTTACTTTTGATTCTTTAATTGCTTTGGATGGGAAGTGCCTTTTGTGAGCAGTGATAACCAAAAATGCTTTGGAGACTTCACTCCCTGAGGATAGCTTGAACTGACATATGCAGTGCAGTCTAACAGCAATAATGCACCGCCCCCCCGTGCTGGCTTTTAGAGCTTCTCCCCCTTCTGACTGTGATGAAAACCCTCTGAGTGCAAGGGAGGCATGACTGCTGCCTAGCTAGCATTGCTGGGATGTCGCAGCTCCTCTTACAAAGGTTTCTCCCACTCAGAGCTATGCTGTCTAAAGCCTCATCAAGAGCACTGAGAACAAGTGCCAAAAGCAGGACTGCAGAGGATTCTAAGATTCTGTATCCGCCAAGAGCTGCCTGAGCAAGACAAGGCCACATATGGTATATTTGAATGGTCATTTAAAGGGACACTGCTGAAAACTGCCCTGCTATTTGAAGACATCCGCTCTGTTTTCATAAGTAATGCATGAGATTATTATCACAGAAAGATGAGAAGACAGGGAAAAACATTCTCCCTTTCTCTCCCCGCACCACTTCTCCACACACTTACCAGCACTTACTTAGTGAGTTGTGCTGCTTCATTTAAGACACAGCAATTTATCCTTTTTCTCTATAGAGCTTGAGAGAGAAACTTTTAATTTTGTATAGGAAACTGTGGTAGTAAACCTTTACTTAGCAGGAAATACCTGCAACTACTTAGAATTTGAAGGCTACATTTGAAATCAAAAGTCTTATTTTAGAAAAAATAATAGACTAAGTATATTTGAAAAAAATTAATACAGATTTTGTGACTTCAGCTGTCAGTACAAGGGCTCCAAATTTCCCATGTCTTCCTGCCCTGTCAAAAGATAGCAGACCCATCTTTTATCTTTAGGTAATAAAATGGAGAAAATAACTCTTCACTCTCTTCAGTTCCACATCAAAACCATATGTTGGACGTACTTTTTGACATCCATACACCAAATGATCCATGAAGAGTCGTAATGGAACTATAAATAGCTCAACATTGCAAATGAGAGTGCTGATGCAAAGAAATGATTGTGATTTCACAAAGAATTTATAAACGTCTTCTACAGAGAAACCTCTTCTTTCTATAGAAAATAATCACCATAAACTAAAACCCTGAGGCAATGAATATTCTCTGTTGTGCATGGAAAAGGCTACGCAGTGGTGTTGAAAAACCTGGATGTCTACTTAGTGTTGAGTCAAAGCTGGCTTAGATTCTCAGATGGAGGCACTCCAGTTCGCTTCATCGTGAGTGTGATACTTCGTGAATGACGCAACCCCTCAGTACGCCTGGGGATTGGCACTGTGCAGCTTTCTGTTAGCCACTGTAACTAAACACCCACTGAGTCAGTATTAATTGGGGCAGGTTCCTTTCCCATCCTGTGTACCCTCCTGGAAGAATGCATGCTAGTAAAAGCTGCAAAGTTTGCATGGGCTTTCAAGACCCAGAATTCACTGTGAAAGCACAGATCTCTAGCAGCTCTTCCAGTCTGTGAAAAATAGACCAGCCTCCTATTCCAAGGGAACAGACCTTCCTTTTCCTTCCTGACCATCCTTACACAGGCTCATTTTATCCCCTGACAATTATATAAATGGATTTGTCTTTCTGAAGGATGACCACGTGTAGCTCTATACCTGTTACTGTCCTCAGGTCCACAAAGGAACTCGGGGTTTGCCATGCCTTCAGGTTAGGGACCAATTTCCAAGAGTGGATATGACAATTGGGCTAAGGTATCCAAGTTTACTTCAACTCTACCCCTTCACTGTATAGTATCCCAAAAAGCATCCACTGTAGGGGAATGCTGAACAGAAAGACAATGGGAGGGAGCAGTACTTAAAGTAGCTAAGAGAGACAGGAATTCAGGCTTTCTCTTTGGTAGGAGACTGCCCTTTTCACTGGAATATGCTTCCGTCCTCTCCTGCCTGTACTTTTTGACCTCTCTTGAATCCTTTATTCCTTGCTTGGTGGCCCAAGCCACCCAAGCCTTCTGTGGGAGGAATGAGGAATGGCCGAAATAGTATTCCCACTTTCTGGCAGTGTGTCTAACCATCACATACCAAGCATGAAGAACTAGATCATCTCCTTTGGTGACAGTTTAGTTTCATTCAGAAACAATCTAAATGCTGTGCATTGTGCTGACGTGGGGATAAAGATGCTTACTGGTCCTTGAGGATTCAGATGCAAGCATGCCCAACTAACAAGCCTGAAACGGCTGGGAGAAATAAAAATGTGCTATGGGTTTCAGCACAATTCAGACAGTAGTGCTCGTTGGCTTGTGTAGGAGCAGAACTTAAGAAGCTGAGGAGTAAGTACCTAATGTGCTTCTTGTGAACCTGTAAATGTCAGACATCTAAATTCTACAAAAGTGAGATTTAATTGTATAAAACCTTTTGAGTGTCACTGGATGTCCTCTCTCTATACACAGTGAAATAATCTAGTAAGATTCTACTCTCACGAGTCAGTTTCTTCAGAGAGGTAGGGCTTTATGTAGTTGGAGTACTTGTAGAATGAGGTACAGCACTCCACAGGTGAGATGAGGACATCTTGGTTTGTGGTTAAACATGTGCCCTGGTTCTGCTTTGAGAACTCCTCACACAGCCTGTGGCTAAGCTAGGGAACTCCCCACCTCAGGACCCTGCAGGCAAGTTTACACAGGTTTAAAAGGCAAGTGGATAAACTAACTGAGGAAAAATCCATGAAAAGCTGCTAAGTACAGAGGCAGCACTTCTGGTGCAGGAAAATCACAGTCTGCCTCCTCTCTGTCTCCTCCTCAGTCACTACATTATTGCTCTGTTCATTACTTTTTCTGAGTCACCTGCTGCTGGCTGTATCAGAAAGATAACGTTTTAGATGGATCCTTAGACTCATCCTCTGCAACAGCTGGTACATTCCCATGCAAGGGAAACTTCAAAGTCATTTGTAGCAGCAGCAGCACAACCAAGCACACCTACAGCAACTCCCCTTTGCCTTAACTCTGCTGACTCTAAGAAAGTTATTCTTGATATGCGCTCCTGTAAGATCACACTAAAGCGTCCTCACTTCCTTCAGGAAGAACACAGTACACCAGAAAAGCCTAAGGAGGTAGAGAAAATGACTTAATTCCATAGGAAAAATAAAATGTTTAGAAGGATTTAATTAGTACTGTGGCAACCACTGGATTTTATTTTTTAGTGTAGATTCAAGGAACATGACTTATGTAAGCACTCTGATAGTTCAGAGAGAATTGATTCTGCATTTCTCTTTCTTGGGCTGGTTGGTTCCTAGACTGCAAAATAAGCATTTTTTTAAACTGAGTAATTTCCAAAGAAATCAATAGAATATATGCTTATGTCAGTGCTCACAAAATATCACTCAGCTCCAGCTCATTGAATCTGCTGAGTACAAATGGCTGCAAGTAAAACTTCCGAGGTACACAGACATAAGTGTATCAGTATTTCCATAAGTTATCACCTAATTTTTGAAGATCTGTTGACCCGTAAGCATTTGATATGGCTTTAAACTGTGTGAATTTGATCGACTATATTTTTGTAATCCCACTGCATCTTAAAAATCTTTTTAAATGCTGTTCGCTCAACTGTTTTCCCCATCAGTAAACTTTTCCTCCTTTTACGTTCCACTTTTATTTTCTGAATAAAAGTTGAGCAGTTGAATGTACTTTTTTCTTCTTGTATCATATATTGATTATTCTATATCCTTTACCTCTTCCAAACAATAATAATCAAGAATTTTTCTGTTTTTAAAGACAGTATGTCTTTAATCCTTATGCACTAGAACAAATTTGTCTTCTAAACACTGAAGATATATTTGCAATCACTTCTAAAAAAGTTTTAACACAGCTATCTTGCACAAATCTGCCTTCTGATTAAGTTCCACTCGAAGTAGTTTTAGAGAAGTTGTAATTTAAAGTACCTTTAACAATTCACCAAGTAAGTGGACTGCAAGTCATAATGCACTAATGCAGGCCAACAGCCAGTGCCCTATTGTGCTAAATGCTTTGGAAACACAGAGAAATTGAAGTTCTCTGAGTCAATTTATGTTTGAAAGGGATGATATCCATCAGTAAATGTTCCAGGAACAGAATGCTGGGTATCTAAAAAGTGTTGCCAAGCAGTACATTAACTGACTTGGTGCTGTGCCTGAAGACTGGAAACCCTGTGTTCAGTGCTACCTGGGTTCGTGTGATTGGCCGTTATGTTCAGAAAAGATAACATTTCTTGCCTTGGATCAGGCTTTTCTGTCGGTTACGCAGGGAACACTGGGGGATGTTCTGATAGAGCAAAGAGGTGTGATAGAGGAAACTGTCACTTTGTGTTTACTCGGTTGTCGCACAACTTCTATGGGCTAGAGTGGAATCTAAAGCTGCGTTCCTGCGTCTGTCTTTCTGAAAAGGGAAAGAATGTTTGATATTTGCTTAGATCTTGAAAGTAACTGAAATGTTTGAAGTTCAGGAATTTTAAGGTTTCCCCTCCCCCCAAAAAAAATTGAATAAGGTCCCCTGAAGTTGCAGGGGACTTCTGGAAGTCATGCAGTCCAACTCCTGCTCAGAGCAGATACAACTAGATCAGATGGCACTGGGTCTTGTCCAGGCCAGTTTTAAACAACTCCAAGGTTGGAGATTCCACATCCTCTCTAGGCTACTTGTTCAAATGTTTGGCCAAGCTCATGGTTAAAAATTTTACTGAATCTGATTGGATTTTCCCGCATTGTGACTGGTGCCTGTTGCCTCTCACCACTGTCACTGTGCACCCTCAAGAGGAGTCTGGATCCACTGTGACTGTAGGCTCCCTTGAGGTATTCAAAGAAAGGGGCCAGTGCAGGCAAGTGTGTCGGTTTGGCACTTCAGAGAGACATGCTGGAGTAGAACCAAGTAACAGTGTAGAAGATCTTGGAAGATTTGTTTGTTTTTCACACTGATTCCAAAGGTTCACAGAAGCACCTACATTTCTGCACAGCCACTCCCATGAAAAACACAGAGCAAAGAAAAAAAAAAAAAGCTTTATAATTTTCAGTCTGGCCTTGTACATAATGAGAATAATGGAATTATAAAAGAGTGTAGGTGGCAGAATATATCCAAACCATTCTGTAATTTTCTGTAATTGGCTTGGAGAAGATTTCTCTAATACAGCCACTGAAAGTCATAGACTAAAGCTGTCCCTGGGGATTCTGATCCAAAATGTGTGTGCTGGGAGTGGGTGTGGAACAGGGAGACTGGTAAAAACTGTGGGCACTGCTGCAGTCTGTAGGGTAGTCCAGTGGTGTTCACTGACACCAGAGCTTTGAGATACAGCAAAGGTTTCAACAATCCTTGTAGCAACTCAGCACCAGAAGGGATAAAAAATGGTTTACAGTCCCCACAGTATGTGTTCTGCAGACTGCAAGAGTCAGACTGCTGTTTTTCAAGAATAGTCCTCTGGGAAGGGAATCCACTTCGTTTGCTTTCCCATGTAGATGTCCCACAAACAGAGACATTAAAATCTGACATTTGTGTTATTTCAGATACAAAATAATGAAGGGAAAACATAATATACCAATAATCTGTCAAAAGTTCCTTGCATATCACAAAGGAGGAAAAGTGCTTACCTCCTTGATGTCCCCATTTAGAGCTTACAGTGCATGGGTAGAAAATGTCACTGCATTAGTATCCCCTGTGGAGATCAGATCTGATCCTTCCTTCTGAGGCTGAGGTGTTCCATTGCAGCACTGACAGAGAAAGAACCATCTGGGACGAGTAAAACAAGGAAATAAGATCCTCTAACTGAGTGATCTTTTCAAAGCAACCCTATTAGAAAGATACTTGACTGTGACTCCTATTTTTAGTAAGGAATCATATTTAAAGTCCAATGTTAATCTATCCTCTTGGCCAGTTAATACCAAACATAATTAGTGCTAGATGTTTATTTTTAAAAAAATCAACACACTCTTTTGGTACTAAGTAATGATACTCCCAGTCATGAAGTGTGACAGATAAGCTTTGGACTTTGCCTCTTAGCTACACCACAAAGTTCCATTACAGTGTTTGATGAGAACAAATGAAATTAAAACACTGTAACTGTGTTGTAGGGTTTGCTAGCCTGCCGCAGCTGGGCTTTGAAACGTCTGGGGACATTTCTGCTTGGGTGTTGATTAAAATCATAACCTTTTGCCAAAGTGCCATTTGACCATGGAAATAAACTGCTCTTTTCAGATCTGTAGCTAAACCACTGCTTGGAATATAAAATGCTAATATGTGTCTACTAACACAGTAGTCACTAATACAGGTGACCTGAGAGGCAAGAGTAACACTGAATATTCCTATAACAACCTCTTAAGGATTTGTGAAGTCCAGATCTTTAACTGCATTTGTCCCTTATGTCCACCAGTGTTTTCCACTCTCTTCACAAGTAAAATATTCTGGGAACAATGCACATTAATCTTGAAATATACTGAGAATATATGCTTACATGCATATATTCTTTGTTTTTTCCCCTCAAACTGTCTTTCCAGTTTTACAAATCATAAAAATTCTGTTCCTTCCTGATTTCGGTGAAACTTGTTTATCCCATATTTGTTCTTCTTGCTCTAGCATAAGAAACTGCCCAAGATCAATGTGTTTTGATTAATAAGTTAGCTTTTTCTGCTTCTGAATATATCCAGGAAGAGAATTTATTTGGCAAGAATATAATTTTTTTGCAAGTTGAGTGCTTTGAGAACCTGGCTATGATTAAAGGTGGTTTTTTGAGCACATCAGAAGTGTTTTTAAAACAACTCACAGATCAGAGAAAAATGGTGTCTCACTGAACAATGATTGCGAATTTGGGAATGAACCACGAGTTTAGAGATTATTTAGCCAATAACTAGTAATTATCATTTTGTGTCCTATCAGGTGGAAATCCTTGACTGGAAGACAAAGAGACAGCTATGCTTCCTAGATAAGGTAAAGCAGAAATATTTAAAATGCTAGGTGACTATTTAAAAAATACTAGCTTTTCTTAAGTAAACTTAGTGTTTATGAAGGGTATTTAATCTCCTGATAGAAACTGAAGAAGCAATGATTATGCACACTTCATACTGGCTACAGAGTACATCAGCCCTTTTGCAGGCAGAGCTTTTGGGCAAAGTACAACTTCAGCTGCTTCACTAAGATGGTGCAAGTTGTGTCTTACTCACTCAGAAGCTATCAAACTGTCACTGCTGTTGTAGTGACTCTTGATCTCTGCTAGAGAAACTGCCTCTGAAAGAGATCTCACGATCTGTCCTCCCTTTTTCCTGTAAGAAGGACTTTGAATCACCCCTACCAATCCTAACCATCATAATAAAGTTATACTGTTACATTGTTTGATTCCCATTTCTACTTAAATAGTCTTACACCTAGTTGTTGTCTTTCAAAATATGCATCTTACATATGCAATGTTTTTTGATGCCTAGGTGGAACCAAATGCCACAATCAGGGAGATCAGATTGATGTTCCATAAATTATGTGAGTATAACTTTTGCAGCAGTTCATATCACATCAGAATATCTAGTATATAAACAGATGAAAATTACATAATTTGAAACCTGTGATGTACACACACAGAATGCTAAGTAACCTGCACATGAATGTGATCACAGCAAGATTTTACTCTCACTTTTTATACTTCCCTGATACAACTTTGTATTTTTTTCTGCAGCGTAATTTCTCACAGATATTCATGTTGAATAAATATCCCTAAAAATCTTTAACTAAATCTTATCTTGTTGTGTTGCATTCATTGTAATAGTGGATGATCTAAACCAAACATTGTATATCACAGAATTCTGTATGGTCTTACAGATCCTCAGTGGTATCCAGCAAGGCAGTCGATAAAACTTGATCCAAGTAAGTACCTGTCAGGACCAGAGTAACAAAGCTCTGAGCATAAAAGCTGTACTTTGCATGGGTATTAGCTTTTAAGAATGCGTTTCCAGCTATGCTAATTAGCATTATGAAGGCTGAAGAAAATACGGAACAAATTTAGTTCTTTGAAAGTATTGAACAGTTCCACCCGTGTGCCTGGCGCTTGGTAATTAATTCGGGAGTCTGCACAGTGTTCCAATGCACTTTTTAACTACTGAGCACTTTTGCTTCCAAGACAGGACGCACAGAATCTAGATACTAGTTTCCCTAAGCTGCAGTGAAATGATCTCCACGGTGATGCTCAGCCGGGGGTACTAAACAGGGCTGTGAGTGAGAGCTCTCAATTCACATAACGCTCTGTTCTCAGGCAGGAATTAACAGTTCTTCTGAGGTAAGCTAATACAAAACACATTGCCATGGATGTAGGATTTGCTGACATAGCTGATGCCAACTGGCTGACTTCATAATTGCAGTTGTAGGTATTTCTCCTAGAAGCCTCTTAGTACGTGGTCTGGGTGCACAAGGAAAGTCCAATTGCCAAACTGTGTTAATTCATCTTAGCATTCAGTATAAAATGTAGCACTTACTTCTTTTGCTTCCATTAAGCGTAATTTTATTTAAACAGTCCCTTAAAAGTATGCTGGTGAAGATTAGTTCATTGTGTAGAATCTGTCCCTGGAAAACAGGTGTATGAGTATCTTATTTCCTTCTTCAGAGATCTCCGTTGTCAGATTCCTCCGTGGGCTTACGCTGTGAGACTTGCCATAAGTAAATCCTGGCCTTCTGGAGATTTCCCCAAATCTAGGCATTAAAAGCTTGAGCACATGCTCAAGTCCTGTGGAATCACCCTAGCTGGTCAGCTGGGACAAAAAGGAGGCAATGAAAACACCTCTGTAGGAAAGCCTCCCAGCCTCACTTTATCCTAGCTTCTCTTCGTTTGATGATGACAAATGGGGAGGTGGAGGTACAGCTGACTAGGAGGACAGTGAACTCTGTTAAAGGCCAGTCACCCATCGGCAAATTCTGCTGTAGCAGTGATGAAGCAAGTCTGCTAGACTAGGCGGGCACGTAGTGGATAATTCTCGTAGGATAATTCTCCTAACAGTCTTGGTGTGAAGAGGACCCAGGCTTATATGTGATTACAGGGACAAATCAAAACCAAGTATAAATATTCTTTGATTATTGAGATTCCAATAAACCCACATCACATCAAAGAATCTCACAGATTGATTAAAGCACAATATAAAGCCAGTATGCTACCAAAGTTGACTTGAATTTCACTGAGATGTAATTGCTTCTTTCCTTCTCAGAAGGAAAGTCCCTGAGGGATGAGGAAATCCTGCAGCACCTCCCTGTTGGCACAACTGCTACCTTATACTTTAAAGATTTAGGGCCACAGATAGGATGGACTACGGTGAGCTATGCTTCGAGTCTGAGCCGTTTTAATGGCTGTTTTTCCATAATTAATCCTTACATGACTTTTTTGTCTCCAATATTTCTGCATGATGCCTGCTCTGACAGTGGATGCAGGCAATGAATCCTCATTGCTTCAGTTCATTTGATCAGGGAAAGCAGTATCAGGATATTCTGAATGCCTAGTTCCCTGGGAGAGCAGCAGTGGAAAACTTGCTGCAGGGTAGGTTGGCTCTACTGAACTAAGGTTCAGGTTCTCCAGTGGATATAGATGTCTACTGCAAAATCACTAGGAAATAGGTGTCTAAATGCCTTTGGGGATCTGTTTCACAGGGCCTGTGTAACTCTCCTGACAAAGATCGGGACTATAGTCCTATGAGTGTGTCCTGCGAAGAGGCACGTGAGCGATTTCACATGGTAACTGAAGTGACTTTAGCAAAAAACGCATGAAAGTAAGATCAGTTAGTTGCCTGCGTGCGGCTGCATCCCAGGATGCTAGCGGCAGACTAATGGCAGCTGCTAATTTCTGCAGTATTAGTAGCCATCCAGCAAGACCTCACATATTTCCTGTCTCAGCTCAAAGGCAGGCAACTCAACACTACTGTTAATGCAGTGAGGTGACCAGTGACCCTTCCAGTTCGTCACAAGGTCCGTGACGCACATATTACACTAGTTCTACTGAAACAGGGAGGAAGGGAAGAGTACCCTGTAAGTTAAAGGCACATTTACCATTTCTTAACTCTGAGACATTAATAAAATCTTGTGTTAATGGCAAATAGCAAAGACACATTCATAGGAGGTAAAATAAAAAAAGTCAAACATTCTGCAAGACTAAATCTTCACATCATCACTTTGGACACAATGTGGATAAATTACACAGTCTGAAAAACAGTAAGACAGGCAAAAAACTTCTAATGGCAATGTAGATTCCAAGACACACATGCATGAACATATACTAAAATAGAGCACAGAGGAACACCAGACTTCTGCCATTCCATAACCTGTCCTTTACATTCTGCTCTCCCTGCCCTTCAAACTACTTTATTCACATGCAAGCCAAGAAATGTTGCAGTTTATCAACTAAAAAAGATAAACTTCTCATTTACAATCAAATCTGATCTTTGCCAGAGAAAATGCTGATTGTTAAAGAAGTCGATAAAACAACTTTTCTGAGTGTCAAAATAACTAAACACATTAGAAAACAGTGGTTGTGATTTATGGGGGGTTTTTCTGGGTGTTGGGTTGTTGGGGGTTTTTTGTTTGTTTGTTTTGGTTTTTTTTGACAGAAGTACAATCATTTTCCCCTCTTTCGTGATAAATGTGGTATGGGCCTACCTTCCTCACTTACGGAGGTGTGGAAAATTCAACTCTTGTTTGGTCCAAAGTTAATTTCCATTTAAAGTGATGTTCCTAAGAAATGTACATATCTGAAATGAAATCAAGTTAGATAATAGCTTCTTTGGCTTCCTCACTTTTTAAAAAGAAAAATCTAAAAAACCTATTCTTTGTGTTCAAATTTAAGATCACTTGAACATAGAATGAATTGATTCTTTCCTGGACATCTGCTGTGCTAACTGTTCATACAGATGGGGTCACCTGTGGACACCTACCAGCTGTGTAAACAAAATTCATTCATTAGAAACAAAGCTCCTCTTTTTCAAGAGAAATTCTTCACCAAATTTCATTTTAACCTGAAATAAAGCAACAGTTTTTGAGGGCAAGAGGAGGGCGAGAGCTGCGCAAATGTAGCATGCATGCATCTTTATCATGGTCTCTGGGCTGCATGATTACCTTTTCATACCCATACTGTGTCAAGCTGCACTGGCAATGGCTCTCTGTATGCAACTGAGGCAAATGCATTGCAAAACACTGACATGCCTGTCTACCGGTTTCACAGCGCAAGCCCAATTCTGTTATTCCCTCCCTGCCTCTCTTAAATGCAATCCTGGGTCAGTGGAGGTGTTTATTCCGCTGCATTAGTTATCATAAAGAAACCAAAGCAAACCCATCATCTAATTCAGCTGTCTAATTATTTTCTCTCTTTTTCCAGGTGTTTTTGATAGAATATACAGGTCCATTGTTCATCTATTTTCTGTTTTATTTCCGCATGCCTTTTGTCTATGGACTGGATGAGAGGTTTACATCAAGCCCGCATCCAGTAGTTAAGTAAGTCCGTTTGCAGGCTTGAGTAGTATTTCTTTTTAGCATTGTAGTCTTATTCCGAATGTCTTGCCACACTTGATTTTTTTAAGCCTCTTAAATGCTTTTGTCTTGCTGTTTCTAGCTTGGCATGTATCTGCCATTCTTTCCACTACATCAAAAGGTTGATTGAAACAGTATTTGTTCATCGGTTCTCCCATGGGACTATGCCACTGAGGAATATTGTGAAGGTAAATTGTGCCAGAATCTATCCATAGCCCCCCCCCTTACAAATCCAACCTAGCCAACCTATGCTCTCACTCAGCAGCACAGATTTTTTGGTGTGGCTTTTGTAGTAATGCACAGCAAATCTCACCCATAAAGACGTAGTTCTTTCAAAAGATTTCTTAATGCCGCTGTCGTGTGACCCCCGTGTTGCCATACTGTTTTTCATGTGACAGTAGTCTCATTGCTTGTAGCATTTTAAACCTTCAGCATACCCTTTCTTCTCATTCAGCTAGCTTCTCGAGTGTGAAGGTTGCCGTAACAAATGTTAACTTTTAAGGTAGCACAGGCAGGCACCATGTTGGGAGGGGTGCTTTTCGAAAAAGAAAAAATCTGCTTTTTTTAGCAGCCGTTTTCCACTCTCTTTGCTGTTAAGCGACTGTTAATTTACTTTGATCCAGCACGTAGCATCTTGGTTATTCTGCATTTTCTTCTCCAGCAGGAGCGCCCCTTAATGTTACCAGTGCTGCCGCGGCGTAGGGCCGCTGTTGAGACACAGGCGCCCTATTTCCTAGATGTCTGTGAAGCAGGACAATGGACTGCATGGTTATGCACGAGCTGTAGCTGGTTTACAAACATTTCCAACAGTGTACACAGTGGTATTCAAAAATAGGCTTTCTACTCAGGAAGACAGGAGATTATCATCTACAACGGGAAAAAGTGTACAGTGTCAGCATTTGGATATTTAATATTTTTTAGACATCCCTTGGAATTTGTGTAACAGCAGCTGGAGCTCTACCTTGTGGCTAAATCCTCACAGCTGTGCAGCGGCTCTGGCAGTTCTGGTGATAGCTTCCTGCTTTCTCAGTGGAAGGAGAGGCTGCAGTTGAGCAGTGGCCCCCAGAAAAAATCCTCCCTAGAAATTTACTGTGTTTTCTGCAACAGCAGGGGGCGGGGGTAGTTAAAAGGCTAGCAGACCTCCTAAAGACTTGTTCTTGACACAGCAGTAGCTAATGGTTGCTAAACAGCAGATAAATGAACAACTTTACCTTGAAAAAGAATGCACAGTGTGAAAAATCTTCATTTTCTCACTGCCACCTCTGACAACTACTCATTCCTTTCAGACCATACAAACTGTTGTTGCCAAAATGGACATTTGTACCAGTCATTCTGGTCACTTCCACTTTTCCCACCTTCTCAGGTTGGGTGGCACTCACTTTCATCTGTAAAGTTGCTCACAGCTCTCCTACCTGCTTAGCAGTGCTTGGGTTTGATTTGCTTTTATAACTTCATTGACTTCGGTGGTATTACTCCAAAACTGTGCCAATGAGAAAAGCATCACATCCTCTTCCCTTTTTTTCTCTCACATACAGATGGCAGACGAAGCTTCTTACTTTAAGTGCTTGTTCATATACATAGCAGACACAGGTAGCTTATTTCCTAAGTGCAGTGGAAAGCTACCCTTAACGAGAGACGCTTCAGTCTCAGTAAACGGAGAGCTGAGACAGGGATTGATGTCATTTGTCATTTTCATCCTTGGTTTACCAAATGGAAATAGGAATAAATGATGCCTTAAAATGCAGCAGGGGTTCACCAAAGCAGTTCATGCTATATACTAACATAGTCTTCTAAAGATACGTGGGTTTTCTAGGAAGGATAGAATACCTGATTTATCTGGACTTAGTAAACAACTGACTCAGGGTGAATAAGACAGGGATTAGTACAAAAATTGTGTGGTGATAAGGGAATTAAGGAAAGATGATTGTGGGTTTGCCAGAAAAGGATGTCACACCTTTAATAATAGGGAGCTACCTGTGGAATTCCTCAAAGATTAGTCTTATAACTGGTCTAACAGAACATTTTTATGGGTAAAAAGAAAGGATATTGTCGCTTTCTATAAAAACATCTGCAGGAAAGAAAACACTAGACCTAAAGAAATGCCATTACAACTGAAGCCAATATAATGAGATAAACAGAAGGGTACATGCTGTTCATGAATAAACTTAGGCAGGGCATCAAGAAACAGTTTTGAGCATCACAGGGATTGTCAGTTGGAGTAGAGAAACAAAAATCCTAACCATAACTTCATAAACTTAGGAATAATTTATTTATGGGATCCCTGCAAAGTTTGAACCTGATCCACAGAATCTTTTTACAGATTACTGTAAAGATTTGTTATTTACCTGGTGTATGAAAGATTCACAGAAGCGATGTCTTTCTTTCAAGTGAGTTTACGAAGTTGAAAGTTCATCATGCAGATGAACTCTGCTGTTCCCATCTGGAGGCTTTTGTATGAGCAATAGGGCGTCTAGTGGCAGCTGGAAATCTGTAGTGTTCCTGCTAAGGACCTAAGCAGTGCCAGACTCCACCCATCTAAAGCTCCTTTGCTTATACCTGAGGAATACTCTTCCAGTAAATCATGTTCTTAGGATGAATTGTACTTCTTTGTTTTAAATACAGCATGTATTGTTCGGAGCTGAGCCATGGTTATTTATTTATTTAATTTTACTTTACTGAAATCCACTGCCATATGATCCATCCTGTGCCAAGCCCCAACATTAGGGAACTCTTTGTCGTAAGATGCCATTCCAAGATTACAGGAAACTCTTTCCACCGAAGTTTTACACAGCAGTTAGTAAATTGTAGGTGACAGTGGAAGAAGCTAGTGTTAGGGAGGAGGCAAGAGTTCATGGATCAGACACTAACTACATTGTTCCTCATTGGAGTCATTCTTTTTGGCTCTGCTGCTTTTCCTGGGGAAAAGGAAGTCATCACAGGGAAGTTACTTAGCCTCTCTGTTCTTTTGTCCCACACAATCTGTAATTATTGGTTAATAATTTGCTCTTCCTCATAATTTCTCTCGTAATAGTCTCCTTGCATTACAGCATGCCCAAATGGGTGTCCACTTTGTCTGAGGTCTCTGGGACTTCAGTGGTTCGATTATCTCTGAAAAGGAATTGGAAATGTGACAGAATGTTTGATACAACTGTCTGCAGCAGGTGGGGGGGCCTTACCCCTCACCAGCCTTTTCAGAAAAACACACCATCAGACACTGCAGTCAGCTAGTGTGGGTTGCAGACATGGAGGTAATCGCTTTTTGGGGTATTATTGCTAGAAATGCAGTTCTGGTATATATAGGAGGAAAAGGCTGCAAAATTCAAAGCCAAATAAAAAATGAAACCAGTCAGGACAGGAAAGAATGCAGCCTTGGGTAAGAATTTGGCTGCATGAGCAGGAAAGGAAAGCTGCGAAGGAGAAAACAGAAGGTTTTCTCCTAATCATGTCTCATCTTCACTAACCTATTGGAAAGTCAAGAAAAAAGCATCACCAGAAAGAGTAAGAGGATCAGTGTTTTACTCAAGAGTAAAAAAGGGAGGGAAGGAAAGCTAAGGGGAAGGAAAAGGAAAAGCGGTGAAAAGAAGATAAAAGAGCTCAATTTCAGTCTTGCTGAAGTCCAAGTGGTAATCAAAGATAGCCTAAACCATTAAAAACGGAGGCACTAGGTTTGATAAAGAAGAAATCTCAACTGATGGAAGGCAAATTTATGAGTTGTTGACAAGAGTTAAATTCTGTTTGCAAGAGAAGGGCACCTAGAGGCGAGAGCTTAGAGGAAGAAGAGGAATGGACCCAGAAAGGGCCTCCCTTCTACCTACAGATATATAAGGAGGGAGATGACCTGTCACCAAGCTACTGTAGCAGCAATGAGTGTCAGAAGAAAAACCAGAAGAGGCAGGGCCAGGAAAACCAAACAAGAGGTAGAGATTGTCATTTTTTTTTTTTTCATGTATGAAAACACAAGCTCTGAGATTGTGAACAAGCTCAGAGATTGGTCAGGAATGAGGCAGTACCGCCATTAGTGACAGCTATGTTATCAGAGTTTAGGGCATGGAAGCTGGATCACAGAAAGCCAAGGACAAGAGCAAAAGGGACAGACTAAAGATATTGCAGTGAAAGGGCAGAGGAAAGCATCCGGTGTGATGACTTTTGGTAGAAAAAGTTAGAGCATGGGAAAGAGAAGACTGATCGGGTGAAGGAGAAGAGGAAAGGCGAGAGCTTGGGCAATACAAAATAGTAAGCAGAGTGCCTAAAGCTGTTTTTACAAGATCTTAGGGGTTAGCAAAACAAGTCTGTCCTTAACACACAGGCTGTAGGGCACTTCATCTTTGGCCAAATGGCTTGCCAGATGATAAATGTGTTTTCAATAGTATGATCATACTTTCTAAAACTATCTATAAACAGCTCCAAGATATTTGAGAGGAAATCTTACTCTGGGCACTACTTCCCTCCTGTTATTTCCGGTTGTCTGCTCCCACCTTACCACACTTAGTGTTGTCATTTGTTGTATTATCAGCAACTTGAAGGATCAGCCCAATTCACTGTTATAAGAGATCCTTGCAGGATTGTAATAAAATGAAGAAAAATTCCCTGTTTTTCAGGACTGCTTGTATTACTGGGGGTTTGCAGCTTGGCTTGCTTATTATATAAATCATCCTCTTTACACGCCTCCTTGTAAGTAGCAAAACAACCCCCAGTATGATTTAAGTACTTATGTGCCTGTATATTAGTACTAATATGTTTTTGGTTTTGTTTTTTTTTTTAATAGCTTTTGGGAAAAAACAGATAAATTTTGCTGTGATCATGTTTCTGGTAGGTTTGTTGCTCTTTCTACAAAATGCTGCTTTACTCCTTATGTTGTATAAGTGGAAGAGTGAGTAGGATAACCAGATACTTAGAACTTGAACACTTGGGACATACTACTAAAGCTGATAACTTGCATGCAGAACAGATAAATCTGTCAGTTTTTAATGTTATCTTGTACACAAGGGAAGATTCTGATTCAGTATCCATTCCAAGACTGATATTTATGTGCTGGGATGGTCTCCCATAGTCTTTAAAAGGGAATAAAACTCAGGAGCTCTGTCCTGCCACTCATTTGCTTTACTAGTTATGCTCTACAGACACGGGAGACTGTCATATAAATCATATAAATGGGTCATTTCAATACACTTTCTGCATAATTGATTGGGGAAGCATTATTTAAAACCAATGGAGGAAGCTGGGTCAATTATATTTCATGATTCATACCAATTATACTCTGGAGAAAACTTACTTAGAGTCCAACCCCTGTCTTTGGTTTCTCTTCCTGAGAAACCAAAAGTATCCAAATCAATTTTTGTGGTGTTTTAAAAGACATAAGAATAACCAAAAATAAAGCAAGTATCTCCTGGGTTATCCCCTTTGGTTTATTGCCTTTAGATCTCATGGGGATTATGTAAGCAGTAAATTTGGTCTTTGGGCACTGAGTCCACATTTGCGAGCAAATATCATAAATATAAAACAGAGTATAGTATGGACTCATATTTGAACAAAGACAATCCATCCTCTTCTCAGACAGCAGTCTTGGTTAAGGGTATTTATTGTGTTTATAGTAGATTTTTTTTTTTTTTTACTGCCCCAGGAAATAACAAAAGGAAGAAGAATAAATAGAAGGGAAGCACATTTTTAACTCTGTCATACTTTTCCTTGCAGCTGTGTGAAGCTGGAAATTTTTCCATTCATGTTGCCCTCAGTGACCTCCAGAGAAATGGTAAAAACTGCATTATCATTTTTCACCTTGGCGCACCCATTCAGTAATTCTACAGTTACTCTGTCTCATGAAAGACCTGATCCTGGAGGCGTTGATACCCGCCAGCTGACGGCTGTGGGAGTGCAGATCGCTCAGCATTGTCAAGTCTGGATTTCTGGGGGAGATAAGACAGCACAAAGAATCCAACACCAGCCTGTTACACAGCACTTCTTACTGTAGTTCTCATCGGTGAGGGCCAGGTTGTGCTGGGGGGAGCAGTTGTGTTAGTTACACCCGTAGTGCAAAGAACATAGTGCTAGTATAAGCTACGCCTTGCTGAGCAAGGGAAAGTGATTTCACTGGCTTCTACAGGGAGCACAAGATCTCTACACAGGCCAGGGTTTCTTGGCCACGAGCCAAACATCTTAGAGCTATCAACAATGACTGCTAAAATTTCATTCGTTGTGACAATCTGAGAAAACCTTTAACGTCTAAATCTAAAACGTGAGGTACCTTTTCTTACAGGACTGACTGTGAGCACATGCACGTGACTTTCTAACGCTCAGAACATTTCCTCACGGTTACCCTATGCTTTCTTGTGAGTCCAGTGACATTGTTTTCCCACATCCTGCTTCTCTCTCTGACAGTAATGAGACAAAGGAGTAGGCAGAGTTGGGTTGGCTTTAGAGGAAGCAATGTATTTAGGACTGTGAATATTTTGTGGTTTGTTTTCTAATCTATAGGATCCAAAACTCGTAAGATCCCATATCCAACAAAGAATCCTTTCACATGGCTGTTTTTCTTTGTATCTTGCCCTAACTATACATATGAGGTATGTATTTTCAAACAAGATGTTCAGATTCTAGTTTTGCTAAATATATTTTAATTTACTTTGGAATGCTAAACATGGAAAAGACCTCTGAAAGAGTTGATCTCAATACATTACCCCTTCTCTCCTAAACCCCATGAAGTCAGATTGCAGCCAGGAACTTGTCTGTTCTTCCCCTCCTGCCTTGATGCGGTCAGGGCTAATCTTCAACAGGCAGCCAAGACCCCGGGCCTGTGCTTCAGCGTGGCTGCTAGACAGACAGACACACTCTACAGCAGTGCAACTTCTGCAGACGGGAAAAGGGAGATTGCCAAGGAATGTGTGTTGCAGTGAGGGGATGGGGGCATCTGCTGAGTTTGTATTGTAAAAGAGCCCAGGGGGATCACAGTACTCGGGAAGATTGTGGGCGGACAAGTAGAAGATATTGTGGTAGAGGAAATGGGGAAATAGATAAATAGAAGAAACTGTGAGAGCAAAAATGGGGAAACAGATGAATACAGTATATTGTGGTAGAGAAAATAGGAAATATCCCTAGGTCTTCCACATTTTCTTAAGTTACACTGTCACTTGTGTTAGTGGTGACTCCTTTAGAGGCTTTAATCTGTTTATCACTTCATATTCCTTCCCCAGGAGCCAAACTCCCGACCCAGATCAAAAGCAGTTAAACCCAGTGCAACTCAGTGTAAAATTCACTCTTGCACAGGGGGACAGCATCAGGTTTTAACTTCAGTGGAGATCAGCAGATGTTAATGAGAACAGCATTTGGGCTCAGGCTATGGAAAGTTACCATTCCTAGCACTGGTGGAGGTTGACAAATACAAACTAGGCAGAGAAATGCAAAGGACACTATGTTGTAATGCTTAAAATTTTGTCGTGATAATAGCTATGGAAGCGAACAGAAAGGTTTTGTTTGTGATAATAAGGCACTGTTTACCTTTTCGGCTAAAGGTTATTAACACTAGAAATTGATCTGGCTGACCTTGGCTTTTTTATTTACCTGTACTAGGACAAATTTGTTTTTGATCAATAGAAACATAAATGCAAATGCTGTCACCAGAAATATTTAAATTTCCTTGGCCAAAACAGGTGGGGACCTGGATCAGTTTCACTATCATGACTCAGTGTGTTCCAGGTGAGTAAAGTTTTGGTGCTTCACCCTGAAGTGATGTCAGCAACAAGAGTGTGTTTTTAATCTGATAACAAAATGTATCTTTTTCTCCCTTCCAGTGGGGCTGTTCACCTTGCTTTGCTTCATTCAGATGACAATCTGGGCAAAGGACAAACACTGCACCTACCTACGAGAATTCAAGGATTATCCAAGTCTTCGAATGCCAATTATTCCCTTTTTGTTGTAAGAAAAAATGTTTAATTTGAATTTTGCACAGAACATGAAGAAAAAGCTCATAAACCTGAAAAATAAGTGAATTAAAGGAATTAAAAGGATTTTGAATCGCCACTGCTGAGAGAAATTGCGTGTGTCTGAAAGCCACACTTCCTTACCTTCAAGAGTTTGCAACTCAGAAGGTCCTTCAAAAAGTAAGACTTCACTGCACAGCTGGTAGTCAAAGGCCCCTACAGTTCACTGTAGCCCAAGTGACTTAGATTTTCCCGTCCTAGTCTGTTGAGAGCGATGGATCAGAGATACTGCGCAGTCTGCGCTCAAAGGCAGCTCCAGATTTAGCAGTGGCATTCTGCAAGGCGTAAGTGCGTTGGAACGAGGACGTACCAGCTAGCTGCCAGGGAGCTCAGCTCAGCCAGCACGGCCGGCTGGCCTGAAGACCGTCGCACGATCTGCTGCCTTTGACTTGAAGAAGGGTGTGTGCTGCCTGGAGGCAGGTGCTTTGTAGCAAATAACAATACCAAAGAATATGAATAAAGATATAGGCAGTATCTCAAATATCTGATTTGGGTCTAACCCCTAATTTATCAAAAGAACCGGAAGGAAGAAGTATTTGTAGTATTTGTGGATGTAACATCCTGCATTGCTGGAGTTATGTTTGGTTTTAGTCGTCTTCATCAGTAAATTTCAAACTGGTAAATAAGGTTCAGGAGATCTGATCTAAGCTATATCTGGGATATTTGGCCATTTCCATGGAACAAGTCTTTATGATACTAAAGGGTCTCTAACTTAGCATTTATGTCAGCATTCTCAGAATGATTTTTAATACACTTCGTAAATACATGAAGTGACTGCCTGTCCTCAGAATGGTAGCTTTCCTCCTATTTTCAGAGCCAGGGAGAAAAATCAGCTACATTTGGGACTTCCTGTGTTTCCGTTTTCACAAGATGTTCAGTGGGACTTAGTTGGGTTTTTTTGCAAATCCAGTGAAAAAATAGTATTGAAATCTATCTGGATGACATTTTAAAGAAGCTATTTTAGAATATGAAGAGAATGCCTAGATACTGTTTTGTTTCATGATTAATTTATCTATAATGAATGTATAGAAAGATTTTTGCAACTATTTGTAAGGGTGGAATATGCAATAAATTCTAGACTATATTTTGAAATCAATTGAAATGGCAAAAGATGAATACTACATCTGAAGTTTTGTAATATTTTGTAAAAAGCAAGAATATCCTTATATCATTTGAAGAAAAAAAACTAACAAAGCAAAAATACATGACCAGATTTTTATTTCTGTATAACGTTATCTTAGAGGAGACTTAGAAATGGTTAGATCTGGTAGATAACTCAAGCAATACATCATTATGAGTTTGTTTTCAGTATTGCTATTTTCTACTAGTTAAACTATGAACTAAAGAAAACAGCTGAATGTCAAATGATTTCCCACTGAGTGCAGTGTGGAGTACAAGCAGGTTGAAATTTTCCTTCTGAGCACAGGGAAAGCACATACCCTGTTCACACTTCACATCCACCTGATGTCCAGTCACAGGAAAGAAGAAAAATTTGATCTTGCTTAATAACAAGGATATCATTCCAGGCTTGTATGAGAAAACAAGACTTTTGGAAGATTTGGACATACTCTCTTTCCTTTTAAACTCCATTTTGACATTCTGCTTCTATTTGAGAAACTTGAAGTATGGGATCATTTTCATTAAGATTTTTTTTTTTTAAAAGCAAATTTCTTGCCTAGGTCTGAGATCTGAATTAATTCTTCCCATCCTTGCCGAGACAACTGTCTGTTTTCACTGGCAGCCTAGTGAGACAGTGAGGCAGTCTCCCAGCACCAGCCCACCAGGCAGCACCGATGTTCTGACCTTGGTAGTCCTGTGTACTCAGGATGGCAGGAATCCACTTCTAAGCTGGGCAATGCTCTCTGTCTTGGGACCTGCCTGTCGACTGGTAGCAGCTGACTTAAGAGTTAAACTAGAAAAACCTACGAGCTTGAACGGACCAGACAGAGAAACTGCCTAATGCTCTTTACACGTCAACGAGGAAAAATAAGACTTCTCTTCTTGTATCTTGTAATGAACTTTATGTTCGAGGAAGATTTTGTTCTACAGCAAGGAGCTGCCTTTCCTTTGACACTTTCAGTGTTCCTGGTAGAGCAGTAGAAGTTGGCTGTTGCGAGGACTGCTGCTGTTGCAAGCACAGTGCTCAGAAAGATGCAGAAAAATCAGTGTAATACTGCGTGTGGGAGCCTTTGTTCTACCGTTGTACTGCTCTGGTATGGCACATCTTTGCACTGTGCACATTCTAAGCCCTAGGGACTGTAGGAATAGTCTATGCAACTGCCTGCTAATGCAAAGCAGGTGACACCTTTGCTTCTCGGCTGGCTCCAGCTGCACGGGGGTGCAAAGGAATCTCCTCATCCTCCATCTGCTGTTTTGCAAAGTTCACAAAAACCTGTGTGAGGAAAGCAGAAAATGTCATCATCTCCTCAACTGAGATGAATTAGTAGAATGTCTCCATACATTTGCATCCTCTTGGACTCTCTGCAGGGAAGAGACAGAAAGGGGAATACGTAGACAAGAACTGAACTGAGACAGTGCATATCAGCAGGGATCATTAATTCCTCCTTTATTTTGATAAACTCCCTTGCAAATTCCTTCCTTTGGATGCACTTACTGGCAACTAAAATCCTATTTTTTCTTAAGCAGGAGATGGGTTCAGCAAGGTTTGCATGGCTTGCACAACATGAATGAGTTTGGTGGCAATGGGAAAGAGGAGACAGAATATTTTAATAGGAAGCTGTAAGGCAGCCAGGAATGTGTTTAGCATTCCCATCAAAGACAGCTTGGCATATGCGTACCCTTAGGAAAGCAGGCAGATGGGGCTAATACCCTCTAGCAAGCAGGTGTTGCCAACAGTCTCGGTGGACTTTCCGGGTTTTCTGTGTCTAACTGCTCCTATATAAAGGTGCATGACAGAAATAGAAACATTTAACTAGATACCGCAGTATCCCTGACACAACACAGTCCAAATCTCTCATTTCAAATAAAACGTTATTCCCAGCTTAGCAAGCCTTCTGAATAGCTGACCTTGCTCAGACTGCTGCTCCTGAAGGAATGGGTTGTGTCAATTCTGATATCTGGGAAGCACTGTTTTATCAGCTTTCACATGGCACCTTCCTAGGGTATAAGTTGCAGATTTCATATCTGATCCACTCTCCTTGATGAGGTTTCTGGGAATTTTGCCTGAGAAAGTGGTGCAAGATAATCCTCTATTCCGAACAGTTTGGTCCTTCCATTGTTTGGCTGAATCCCCATTGTACTGCCTAATTCTTGCCAGACAGGCTTTCTCATGGATGCTTTTTTTTTTTTACTCACCTGATCTAAAGTTGTTTGAGACACAGAATATTCTTCAATATGCAAGTTTTCCTTATTGGAGATTATTAACCGAAAAATCTTAGCCAGAGAGGAGGAGCAAATCTGATACTGCAGCATGTTGTAGTGTTTCTCTCTCTGTAAACTCCCTGGGAAGTTCATGCGTATGAATTGCTCAGCAGGAGTAGGATCTGGAGGCAGCCCAGACTTTGAAGCTTTGATTTTCAGAGTGACAATGTAGCCATCTCCAAACCTAGGAAGCACATGTGGATTTGGGAATTGGATTAAGAGATGGCTTCATTATTCAGGAAGAGAATTATTTTTCAGCAGGTATGAAAACATTAACAGTATCTGAAAGACAATGCATAATGTCTACCTGTGTATGAAGCTCTGTAATTGCCCTGCAGGAGTGGTGTGTAGCAGAACAGAGTTGAAACAAAGTCTGCTCAAATTGTCTAGGATACCAGAGCTGCACCCAGAAATAGGTCTGTTTAAACTACAGGTCTTCAGATTGGATTGCTGTATTAATGTGTATGTGTCACATACACTAAGTTTTCCCATTAAAAAGCATCATAAAAAATATTCTGCTTACTTGTATTTTAGCTGTTGAATTGTGCCCAGGCATTTGAAGGTACCTTTTACCATGATGGCTAAACGAGTGCAGAGGGCTTCACATTCTTCCATACTTTCAAAACAGAGAACAGATACTTGAGACAAAAGCCAGCAGATGAACTTCAGCTACTCTGGCATTCTGATTTCTAACTCTTTTTACCTGTGTGAGGTTAGAACCACAGCTCGCCCATCTCTGAGCACGCTGACAATAGAGTCCCACAGGAGGCGTCGGGACTGAGGGTCCATTCCGGTAGTCGGTTCATCCTGTAAGGGAAATGTTAAGGCAATGGGAGTCAGAGAAGCAGATAAGAAAGAGGAAATCTATTTAGAATCAAGTCATTGAGTGTTCAGGCCTTAGCATATAGCATATGCTTCCCTGCTGAAATCTGCCTTGAGAAAGCACATGAGTGAATGGGTACTAACGTACTTCTTGGCACAAAGCAGTGAGTAAACAAGTACAAGAAACTGCAGGTAAGAACTTAATGCCGTCTGTGTCAGGCACAGCTAACGGGAAGGGAATGCAGGGACTGTTAAAACAAAGGCAGTCCCCAGTCTGTGGTCTCAGATATCAAAAACATAAGCGCTTGTGATACCCCATTATAAAAACATTTAGGACCCAAAATAGAAATGAATGGAAAGAGGCTCATGCAGTAGCAGCTAAATCCAGTTGTGTCAAGTTTGGCTCCCATGTTTTGACAGACATTAGAGATGTAGATCAATATTCTGGAGAAACAAAGCAAAGGATCTTATATCTATAATACAAGCTTTAAGACAGAGATGGACACTTTGAATAAAACTTCCTTTTTCTGGGGCAAAAATTTGAAGGAGGAGAGTGAGTTCTTCCCAAGTAATGTTCTTTCTTACATAAACATATAGGACACATTTTTCTACCCAAGAAGCTAGTGAAGTCACCCTGATTTACACTAGCTAAGGATCTGGTCCTGCATAAAACAGGTAATCCAGTTAGGGGGGAAAAAAGAAAATCATTGAGAAAAAAATTTTCATTCAACATTTTTTCTTAAGAAATTATGAGAAAACATTTTATTGGGCTGTTTACTATGTAGGGGCAGAATATTTGTAGAGACATATTAAATGGCACAAGG